TGGACATTCATGCACACTCTCTTGACTGCAAGTGACAGAAAGCAAAGTCAAACAAATTTAAGGGAAAAAAAAGAAAAGCTTTTGGCTTATGAAATTAAAAATACCAGGCATTGTTGCTGAGTAGAAGTTCTTTCTCCTGACATCCTGAAATGAAAAGCTGTGACAATATCACCAGGACTCGACCTCTCAGCTGATTCCCCTAGGCTGGCTTAATAGTAAGGTTCACTCTCAGTGTGGTAGGAAAGATGGTCCTGACAGTTTAGGCTGATGAAGTCATTGGAGCTCCTGATCCCAGAAAGACAGTGAATCTTTCACAGTCGTTTTGAAGACGTCTTGGGATGGGTTTTCACAGGCTCAGGGTGGGTCCTGAACACATCCTTGGGAAAATAAATTACTATGACAAATAGGATGGAATATGTTGATTGGTTAGGGATTGGGCCATCATACCAGTCGTGTGGTGGGTCCCTAAAAACAGGGATACTTAATACACACAAAAGTCATTTATTATGAAAATGGCAAACCAAGAACTGGGAGAAAATGTTTGCAAGTCATATCTCTGATGAGGGGTTAATATCCAGAACATACAATTCAACAATAAGACAAAATTAAAGCATGGATGAAGGATTGAGTTGACATTTCTCCAAAGATCAACAAATGGCCAAGAAACCATAATTATTAGGAAAATGCAAACAAAACCCACAATAAGATACCGCCTTACAGCCATTAGGATGATTGCTATTAAGAAAATAAACAGAAAATAACAAATGTTGGTCCAGGTGTGGAGAAAAGAAGGTGGAACCCTTGTGCACTATTGGTGGGAATGTGAAATCATGAAAAACAGCATGGAAGTTCCTTAAAAAATTAAAAATAGAATTACCATATGATCCAGCAGTTCCACTTCTAGGTTTATGCCCAAAATAGTTTAAAACAGGGATTCAGATATTTGTACACTCATGTTCATAACACCATTATTTGCAATAGCCAAAAAGTAGAAGCAACCCAGTCGCCTACTGACAGATAAACAATCAAAAAGTGGTATAAATATACAATATTTTTCAGCCTTAAAAAAGAAGAAAATTCTGACATAGGCTATACTATAGATGAACCTTAAGGACATTATATTAAGTGAAATAAGGCATCACAAAAGGATATATACATGATTCTGTTTATACGTACCTAGAGTAGTCAAATTCATAGAGACAGAAAGTGGAAGGGTTTTTGCCAGAGGCTTGGGGAAGGAGAGAAGGGCAGTTATTGTTCAACAGGTACACAGTTTCAGTTTTCCAAGATAAAAAGAGTTCTATGGATGGATGGGGACGACAGCAGCACAGCAATGTGAATGTATTTACTGCCATAACTGTATGCTTAAACACGGTGAAGACAGTTACTTTCATCAGTATTTTAACACAATTTTTTGAAAAAGCATCCACTATAGAATTTAAGAAAAGGAACAAAGTTAGCCAAGTTTTTTTTCCCAATGATCTTTTAGGGACTTCCTTCTGAATACCTTCCATCCAGATGCTCCCGAAATCATGTTGACTCAGTGCTCCACCATGATTTATTTGTCCTATAGTAGAAAGCCCCAGAACCTTCCTAGTTCCCCGCTCTGGTCAGAGACCTGTTCAGGATACTTCTTGAGATCGTACTGTAGGTCAGGGAGCCTATACATCTGTTGTACCAAGAGCTGTTGGTATATGTGTTTGCCCAGAAGAGGTGTTTTGAAAAGGGAAACCTGAAAAATGTGTATTAACCCAAATGCAAGTTAATTCAGCTGCTTGTGAATAGTTATCTCTTGGGTCTTCTTCATATGGAACTGGATTTCATTGCAATCGCAGAGCCAAATTGTTAGCTAAGAGCCCTTTTATCACTTATCTGCAAAAGTAAGAGTCCCACTGCAAAAGGACCATTTCAAACACAGGCAACGCAAGAGTTATTTGAATGGCGTCTATGTCCACAGAGAGGAAGAAGAGTTACAGTTAACTCCATGGCTTGCAATCTCATCTGCACTTGATAGCAATTTTCCTCAGATCATAATTTTACAAGTGCTGAGAAACTCTACTTTAGCAAATGGACAGGCACAGACTGTGCAATGAGTATAACTTTTCAGCCCAGTTAATGTCCATCTAATAGACCCAAGTTCCAACTCTGTGTCATTCCCCTTGGGAATTATACAATGGGTCTAGGAATACCAGCCCTGAGGGATGCGATAATTAGATGAGGTACTTATAGTAAGCACCTGGATCTTTATTTGTCTCATCAAATATTAATTTCCTTCCTCTTCTTCCTTCCAGCATGCTCACTCAAGAGCTGTCTCCAGAACTAGTGACTGAATGAAAGTCTGACCACCTCCTATAACCTCATTCCTCATCTTGCTGCAGTGGTATCAGCTGTCTCTGCACAGTGAACACTGCTGAGGTTGGATGAATAATAAGACAACTACAATAACAAAGATTTTAAGGATACAGAAGAAGATTCATATTAAAATATCCCTGTCCTGCCTAGACAGAAGCAAGGAAAGTGCCCCTTCCCTCTTTTTTTCCAACTAATTATTGAGTCAAGCATGGTAACAACATATATGGCCAAAGTGGTTAATGTGTGGTAGTAGGTTTTACTTAGGAAATCAGCGGGTGTTCAGACTTTGGAAGCTGCACTTGTTGTTTGTAAAACACTACATGAAAATTTTTAAAATGATATTGTGGGTCGGGTTCGGTGACTCAGCCTGTAATCCCAGCACTTCAGGAGGCCGAGGGGAGTGGGTTGCCTGAGTCTGCGGGTTCGAGGCCAGCCCGGGCAACTTGGCAAGACCTTGTCTCTACAATAAATAAAAAATGAGCCAGATGCGGTAGCCTGTGCCTGTAGTTCCAGCTACTTGGAAGGCTAAGGCGGAAGGATCACCGGAGCCCAGCAGGTCAATGCTGGGGTAGCCATGAGCGTGCCACTGCACTCCAGTCTAGGCGACGGAGTAAGAATCCAATTAAAAAAAAAAAAGATTTTCAAAAATTTTAATTTATTTTTATTTTTTTTTATTTTAAAGATGTGGAGTACAACTCAGGGTTACCTCTTGCTGGTCCTATAACTGATGTAGAAGTAATTTCATGAGCCAAATAGATTGGCTTTCTAGGTATATATTTGGCATTAATTTTACTCTCTATTCAATGTACTAGATATTTACTGCCCACTCTCATGAAACAGTTCACTTTACCATAATGTATATTTTAATATCATCATATTTTTAGAATACATTAATCTGTCTAAAAATATGTGATTAAATCATCTGTCATTCTGTTGTGAAGCTCTTGAATGTTTTCTTTCTTTGGCAAATAAATTAGACTGTCATATTGGGTTCCAAGCAGACATAAGCTGGCAGTGACTTACTTGCACAAAAGTCACTGATGGAAAGTTCAGAGGCATTTGGATTTCTTCAAGGTTGTAAATCCTGATATATTACCACTTTATCTTACTGGAAATTTGGGTAAGGCGAGAGATGGGAAAGCATGATGGTAAATCAACTGGTGACCCCAAACAATTTTCCATGGTGTTCATCGCCCATGCATGTTCCATGTTACTGACATCATTCCTAGCCTTCCAATCATGTCTCAATTTTGCACACATTGTAAATGCTCTTTAAATGATTGATGTAACTTAATGAAAGTACTTAGGATTTTATTTACTTCACTCAGAGTAATTAGGTTTTAACCTGGCAAGGTGTTTAACAGACAACCAGGAAGTTGCTAAAAATTCAACTTCCCAGTAGACAAGTCTGTTTGAGGCCATCCTCATCGCCAAATGAACACGTCTAGAAACTGGACTCAATATCTCGTTCCAATAACAAGCACCACCAACCACAACAAAAACAACAACCAGAGTCTATTTTCTCCTTTTGTGTTTCTGATCTCTGTGAACTGCTGTACTCCCAAACTGCCCAAGTCAGAAGCCTAGAAGTCAGGCTGGATTTGTCTGAGATCATGTGGTGAAAACAGCAACCATGGCTAAGTCCTCATCCATAATTTATTTGGATCTGTACCCTTCTGTCTATATTCATGCCCATCACTGAACTCAGGAATTTAGCAATCACTCTTCAGGACCTCACATCAGCTTCTGTGATCCCTCATTCTCCTGTGTGGCCAGAGTAACTGCTACAAAGTATAAATCTGGACACATAAATCCTCTGCTTACCAATCTTTCATCTGATACCTACCGATACCAGAGTAAAACTGAAATTCATTAATGTGTTGAAAACCCTCATGATCTGACCCTTGTTATTTTTTCATCTCATTTCTTACTATTCCTTCTTCTCTTCACTCCATGCTTCAGAAACAAGAATTACTTGCCTTTCCTTGGCCATACCTTTTGCTCGTCTACTCTTTTACCTACGTTCCCTCTTAAATGTTTTCCACTTTGTCTAGATGCTTCCAACCCAGTCCTGCATTCCCTGGCCTTCCCTGTTTTGTTCTTGGAGTGTCTGCTTGGAACTTATTTTCTCCAAAAATCTTCTCTTTCAGGGCTGAGTAGGTTCCTCCACAAGTGATTCTCCACACACTTGTGCTTACCCTTCTTACGCCCTCCACAAATGATCTAAAAGTCACCCCACTGGAATGTGTAAAAGCCCTGAGAGTCAGGACTAAGAAGAGCTCGGGGGCTGCCCAACTCTGTGGTGAGGCTGTGGGAGTTGGTTGACTTAATATTCCCTCCACCTTCCCCCAAACACGCTCTCTTTCAATTCTATGGATTGTCCCTGAAGGGTCACCAGAAAACTAAGTCGACACCATCATAGCAGATATCAGACGCAAAAATCTAAGATTTCAGGACTACAAAGGACGATGCATTTTACTGTGTTACATCCCAGTTTGTCCAAAGTGCAAATTATGCAACATAGGCACAAAAAAGAAAAGGTAAGAAGATATCAAGTAATCTAAATGCAAATTTCATCTAATTCACAGGCAAGCTTCAACGCACACATGCAAAGAAACTCTACAACATGGGAGGGTGAAGAAAATGAAAACATTTGCAAAGGTAATTTATTGAGAAATAGTAAAGATGTACATATTTTTACAAGCTTTTAATATTAATTTACATTTCTTTAAATTATGTAGGCCCCGATAATCTATATTTTACTAATACATAATAGAAACCCTTGACTTTGTGAAATTTCTATAATACTACCATAGTTGGGAGTCAAAATGCAACTTTGGCTCATGATTCTGAAGTCTGTTTTTGAAAGAAAGACTAAATGCCATATTCACTGAGAACATAGGCTTGTCATAAACAAATATGCTTTAAAACAACAGCTTCATACTGGAACATGCTGTGGACACTACTTTGAATCTTAGCTCACTGCAGACTAAGAAAAAAAAGGTAGAGATGATTATTCCCTACTTTTTGTGCACAAACTGTATGATTCTATAATATTGTTTTCGCCTCTGAATTTGATTGCGACTTTTTGCAGGGGTTTAATAATGTCTTAATCGTACGCTGTAATATTGCAGCCAGGTCACCTATTTTGTTACTGAAATGACATGGTCTTGATATTTTAAAGGTGCGACACAAGGTGGTTTTCTTTCTTAGGACGACACCAAGTTTGTATATGTAGTAGCCAAAAACCCATTCTAGTTACAGAACATTTTTGAAACTGGTTTACAATAAGGCACAGTATTCTATAAGTAAATACAAGGTGGGAGTTGCCGAAGGGGGTGGTTTTTTGTGTGTTGGTTTGTTTCTTGTTTTTCAGATGAGAAAGGAAGAGGATTTTTTGTTCGGCTGATCCCCATCAACCTAGAGATTACGCTGGCAGCCTCTTCTGAACACAAAATCAGAAAGAAAGATGTGTGAGAAACAGCACTGGGTGATGCTGTTTCTTTCTGCATCTGCAGGGTTAGCAGCATAAAAAACTTGGCTTGTTTGATATGAAAGATAATTAAAAATTTAGATGTAAGCCACAATTCCATCATTTAAAGCTACTGGCTATCCCATAAAGATAATTTAATTTTATTCACAGTGATAAATATCTAAGGTTTGAGTGTACAAAATAATTAAGTACTGAAAATCAATGCAACACTTTAATTTTTAAAACTATTTTCAAGCTAAAGGCCAAAAGAGTGTATGATTTATTATTGTTATTGTTATTTTTAAAAAATATTACAACCTAATTTGTCTGGAACAGTACTTGGGGCAGAGGTAGCCAAAATCTACACAATTTAAAGAATAAGTTTAAGGTTTATGTGATGAAATCACAATCTTATGCAAACTTGGGATCTCAATGTCTTTCTGCCCAACGTAAACATGGCCTTTGCATTCAGGAAAGAAATACAGATTTATAGCCTGAAGAAATAAAATCATATTTCCATGGTGAATTTCACGATCTGTGAGCAAAATACAGACCCTATTTAGTCCAAAGACGCTTCAGTTGATGAACTAACAAGCAGCAGCCTCTGGTTATGAGTATTGACTAGCAGCCTGTCTCCAGGATCCACGTTATAACATTTTAAACACAGAACTGCAGGTGCAGACACCATTAAAATACCCTAGATCTTGAAGTCTTAAATTTCCACAAAGGAAATCATGTCATAGGAAATGACAGGAGAACCTGCATCGTGTTTCTAACATGGGCTACACACAAGGGAAAAACCATGCAAACACAGCTATGACAGGTTCTCCCAACAATGAATGCATCCACTGTGCAGTGACAGTACAGGTAAAAACTAATACACGCAGGTTTGTCATATGAAGAGAACCTGCATTGATGTGTTCAGATGGAGAACCAGGTACTTATTTTACTGTTGTGGTTTCAGTAACATTGCCAAGATCCAACTCACTTGCTAATCTAATTTATGATGATATTCTAGGTGAAATTTTCAAGGACTCACTTCCTTCACCAGAAGCCATCAGGGACTTAGGCCTTCCATTACTGAGGACATATCATTTTTTGTAATGGCATTGAGAATAAACATGCTAAGCTTTATTTTAAGCCACGTTCACTCAATGTGAATTTTAAGCCATGCCCACAACATTTTTTTTAAAGTTTGGGTGATAATTGCTTATGATCTGCAAGACAATATTTTCCTCTATGCAACTTACACATATCAAAAAGTCTCCAACCCAAGACTGCAAGTCGTCATGAATATGGCTCTTAGTTTTCTCCAGTAAAACTGCAGAAGGGGTATTTGAGACTTCTACATACATTTTGCTTTCTAAGTAAAGGTCCCACAGTCTTTCCCAAACCTTCTGCTTATGGTTGGATGCACAAATAGTTGCCTCACACAATATTGGAATTATTAAGAGCCCAAATAAAACACAAGCTTTCCTTTATTGTTGTTACTGTTTTCTTATTGCAACAAGAACTCTGTTTCTTGCTTGATGCAGTATTAAGCTCTGATATCTTGAATTTCAAATTTGGTCATTGTTAAGAATTATCACAAAGGTTTTTGTTGTTCATTATCTACAGAGATTTTAACCAAAGTTACACTGTAACACACAAACGCTGTCTTGTCTTTAAGGCACAACACATCAGTATGAACATTCTGTTTGCCAAACTTAAAAAAGAGACAATATATTCCCATTTCCCCTCCCACTCCCCTCCCCAACAAATGAAAGAAAAATTGCATCCACTGTCAAAGTCAGCTGCTAATAAAGTCACAGTAAATTATTTTCATCAATAATTTACACAAATTACAGGTCTAGATAGGACTGTCCTTATACAGTCTGAGTGCATTCCAATTCAGATTTTCTGGGCTAGGTAGGTTAAAGTCAGTTTCAAACCTCAGGGCTGAGAAGATCTCCCATTTTGAGGAATGTTGTTGACCACCTTGTCAGACGGAGCATGTGTGTTGCTGCTTTGCCAGGGTAAGAGTTCTTTGCTAAAGCTGTTCATTCCAGTTAGGACTCACTCCGTGTGTACCAGCAACCTCCACACATTCTTTTAAAAACCATTAAAGTGTTGTAAATATAAGACCATAGAGTTTCCTTTTTGTAGTACTAAAGTTTAATTCCATTCAGCAATCTGAATTCTTCCTTCTGGAATTTTCATTCCAAATATGATTTCATCCTTTAAGACAATTTATATGTGTCGAGCCAGAGGCATTGAATCACACATAAAAATTCAGTGTACTTGAAATACATATATAAAAAAATGGATCTCCAGTTAGAGAACACAGTTACAAATACTCTAATTCCAGTGCTTGATGGAGAGCCAGGAGGTCTGAGTGACTGGATATCCTCCAGAAGGGCATGTTGTGCTGCGTGGACAGGAGAGGGAGGGATGGAGAGAGAGGGGAGGGGATGAGGCATGGAGAGAGATCACAACCATCGTCTCAGCGAAGCCATGGCACACACAGGGAGGTGTGCCCCCCCCCCCGAGTTCAGGGGAGGGAGCTTACAGGCGGGATGGTCATACGTGAAGCCTTGGCGGCACCAATTGGGCATTGTCAAAATAACAGAGAAATAGATCTGAACTGGATTTTAATGAGAATAAAAGCAAATATTGAAATTCCTTAGGTAGTTTAATATTTATTCTGGAAAGCATCATTACCAACTTCAACATCTGGGAAAGCAAGCGGCTATCAACATTCTCCTCGGCTGATGGAAAGCAAGTTTTAATCAGCACGTTACTTCTAAAGGCCCATCTCTCAGTTAAATGAAATAGAACGATTAAAAAATTCTTAATCTGATTTACTTAAAAGGTAAAGAAGGTGAATTCCTTTCTGTGTAAAAAATAATTGGAAGCTTAACTATATAAAACAGAAAAATGTGGAAATGATAACTCTTTTACTTGTCTGGGATAGTGAATAACTTGTCAGTAGAGTTGACCCTGATTTATTTCACTGGTGTGGGGCTGAGAGAAAGTACTCAGCATATACAAAGATGAGTTCTGTTGGGGCAGAATATTTTAGACATTACAATGGTTTGTGGCCCTTGAAAGATATACCAATATACAGTATATATGTGGCATTAAAGCTTCATGGAAGGGGGGTGATTAGGAACCCCACTGGCGATAATAATGAGAAAAATGAAACACTGCACTATAACAGCTGACAAAACAAAAAGCATTGTTTGTAAGTTTGGGCTGATGATACCTTCTAGAATATGCATGTATGAAATATATACTCATGTATGTAATGTAAATACACATGTATATATGACATGGAAATACATTTTATATTAAAAATTAATCAGCATCGTAATCATTATTGCTATCTAATTCTTTGCTCCCAATATGGTAGCCACTAGCCACAAGTGGCTACAGAACTCTTGAAGTGTGGTTAGTCCAGTTAAAACACATTCTGAATTTCAAAGACTTGGAACAGTAACAAGAAAAGAATGTAAACATCACATTGATAATTTTTATATTGATTTGGTGTTGATACAATAATAGTTTGGGTTTGTTGGGTTAATTAAAATATATTATTAAAATTAGTTCTTCCTGTCTTACTTTTTTTTAAGGTGGCTTCTAGAAGATTTCAAATTACTTATGCAGCTTGCATTATATATTTCAATAGGAGAGCGTGGTTATACATTCCTATTCCTAAACTTTGAGATGTCTTGTTTTAAATTATTCACACAAAATATGTTTAGTCAAATTAAAGCACAGAAGTTCACCTAGAAGTAGCTTATTTTTTTTATTCAGCTCAGATCTATTTGTAATAATAAAACAGTACTTAAAATGTCTGCACATGCGGTTACTACTACATCCAAAGAAAAGCATGCATTCTGGGTACTACAGAAACCAACCACCTGTGTTTCAAAATAGAATTATAAGCCTCCACCATCACCAAAACTGTACCTACATAAACAACCATTTGGAAATAGCATTCTATCTGAGATTCTCTTCCATTTGGAATCATGCCTTTTTCTCCTGTAGTTTTAGATATAAGACAGAAGGTACAACAACTGATATACCAAGTCAAGCACGCACACTGTGGATAACTGAGGTAGACTTGATAAGTCTTAATTGTCAGAGGCATATACTGTTATTGGTTTGAAAAAGTGAATTCTAGTAGCCCTTAACCTAGAAATACATAAATTTCACACAGGCTAAAAGACTTGTAAATGTTAACTGGGGTGGCTGTGTCATTGACTGCTATTTGTTGTGTGTAATGATGGTGCCAATAATGAAAAATCACGACAACATGGACCCAGAACATTGATAAACTCCAGAAGATTATTTCAATTGCATGTGACTGGAAGCATTTCAACTCTTAGTCAACAGTGAAAGTTGTATTTCTCGAGGCTACAGCCCTGACCTCATATAGAATGTCCTTGGGGCCAGTGTGCTGTCTTGGGTCATTGACACTGCTAATGAAGACCCAGGTGCTCTGTGGGCGGCAGAGCCTGTGCTGGTTCTCTTAATGGGATGGAAAAGCATGGAGAATTTCAAGTATGGCTGCCAACACTGTTACCAAACCTAAAGTAGAAGTGCTTTCTTTTTCTCCATTTTGCTTGATTTAAATTGACTAGACACATAAATCATTTCTTTTCTCTTTCAATTATAGCCATAGTTTTAAAATAAAGTGGTTTATGTTGCTTTTTTTTGAAAACAGAAAACAGGTAAATGCTCCAGCCCGTGCAAGTGTTTAGTGAAGGCTTTATTAGATAATGATTTAAAAATCTTAATGTTTAAAATTTCATAAAGGTAACATTATTTTTTATGTAAAACAAATATAAACTGGGATGTCACTGCTTAAAAATATAAATTCTTAATTTTGCTTTGTTTATGAGTTCCCACACTTTTATCTTGACAAGATGATATTTTGTTATCATTCAGTGAAGGAAGCAGAACTCGGTTTTGTGTTGACTGACAGTCTGGTGTCAGGGGCCAATCCTGATATCATTCTTCTTTTGATGTCGAACCAACCATTTAATGGTTTTTAATAGCCTTGGTTTCTTCTTCAGAAATATGAGCCAGATGAAAAGGCTTATTTAAATACTTAGGGCCTATGAGTTCTGAATATGTTCAAAGCCAGCTGTTTGGCTTCAATCAAATACTAATGGCTCACCAAAACAGATGAAACTCTTCTAGAAGCTGTGAAGCACACTGCCTCTAAGTCTCTAAGACAAGTTGGCACAAAAGGATCTGAATACATCCATTCCAACAGTGCTTGTTAAAATCTCTTGCAGCAGTTTTTATTCAGCTATTAAATCTACCTTCAGCACTTATCTCCGTGGGGCATACCTACGTCTAGGCACTCACAAGGACCAGATGGCACATGGGATTCAGGAGCCACTCAACGGATTTTTCTAGGGAGCTCATTAAACTTCCTTAACTGGCTGAATTCCATGGGTTTAACAATGGGTATTTTCCCCTAACTTTCGTATAGAACACTGAGTCATCTATATCTGTGTGCACTGTGTGTACGTATATGTATATATGTGCATGTTATATATACACACACACTATATATATATTTATACTTATTATATATGTTTAGTTTGCACATGCATACACATTAATAAATATACCTAAATGTACCTGAATTCCCTATCAATTTTCAGGCAAAAAAAAAGAAAAAAAAATGCTAGACTCCAAATGGTTTTTTTGAATGTAAGTATTGCCCTCTCATGCTCTCCCTGCTTTGCCTCTATAAATTTAAATCACTTGTCAAGCTGCCACTGGGCCAAACTACAGGAATGCAAACAAAAAGGCTTGCATTAGAAGTATCACACCAACATTGTTTGAGACAGGTTACCTTTTTTGCTGCCTGTTCTTCTTCTACACCATCCCCAATTACAACATACACTACTTTTCTGCCAAACCTTTGCATTATTCGTTCAAAGCAACTTTCTTTTCCTGGAAGATAAATGAGATAAAGTTCAGAGTGAAGTTACCTGGTTAGCGGCATGCTCCTCATCTCGGCCATCTCCAATCACAACATAAGTTATGTTAGTGCCAAATCTGGACACTATACGCTCAAAACAGCTTTCCTTGCCTGAAAAACAACGCACTGCTTATTCTTCCAGCCATTGCATTCGTCAACCTGAAGATTCATAAAGTGTTAATTGCTCTTGAACATCACTTGGACTGGCTTACAACCTCTTGGTTTATGAAATCAACACCAAACAAATATGTTTCACACACCAAAAATGTCAGTAGGGTTAAGCATCTGACCTAGAGAGTATATTAGTATGCTTTATTCTACCAAAAGAATCTTGAAACAATTTTACAGGCAACTATAAGTTTTGACAGCCTCTGTTTAATTCCACAAATCAAGTTTATCTAATTTATTTTTAAGTAGCATAAGCAAGTCAGTTGAATATGTTTTAGTGAAAAATTGAAGGCTCACCTCTAAGAAAAGTGGAAACACTACGATGCAGATTTGCCTTAATAAACAATCCCTTTCTTCAAGTGGGTGAAAGCTAGTCTGCTCAGATTACTTGCAGTAGGGGTGCTATTTGACTGGGCCACCGCACTGAAAACACTCTGTCCTCTTGACTATACTATGGAAATACCACCGTGGAATTTCTACATGTTCTTTATTTTTACAACATTGGTATTATTCTCTAAATTTCATTCCCAGAATGTTCGTGCAGCATGGCTACTTTGGCCTTTTGCTTAATCTGGTAGTTCAGAATTCCAAAAAATATAAGCTTAAATGAAAAAAACAAAACAATTTTTTTTCAGATTAAACATAAGGAACAATTTGGCCAAAAAAAGAGAATATTGTCCTTACTAAAATAATGTTTATTCTGCTATAAAGTTATTCAATTTGTCAAAAGCAAAATTATCTTCCATATATTAATTCCACTAGCATAAATATATACATTTATACAAAAAATGTATGGTATTGGTGTTCAGGCTCTGAGCTGTAGTGCTTATGGCATTGTGGCATTTACTTTTTGTAAGCTGGGCTCTCATTAACTGTACTCCTCAAACAGCTGCAACTGTAGGCTTCTCTGGCTAGAGCCAACGTCAGAACTCCTCAAGGCCCTGGGCAGGTTATTTTTGGTGGAGGATTTTAGGATTTTGAGCTTCTCTTGTCAAAGTGCCAGAGCCTAAGTTTGGTGACCTTCGGGCCACATTACACAATTCATTTGTTTTCCCAGGCATTTCCTTGACAGACGGTGGAATACACGAGCAGTTTTCTTTTAACTCTTTCAAGATGGTAGAAGTTGATGAAGTTTTGATTCTGAATGTTTATTAGAAGTCTGAGTCTGCTAAATGCACTTAAAGTCTAAGGTGGCTCCACAGATAGATATGACCTAAATACACAAGGTTGTAGTTCTTTGATTGCTACTGCATATTTTTAGAAATGTGAATTTCCAGCCACTCATGTGTTATAAATATTCCAATTATATTTTGGGATTCATGAATTTTTTTTTTCTGTAATTAAGGATACTAGTTCAATCCATCTGAGACTCCCTTTAAGCCAAAATAGTGTTTTTATTTCAGGCCTAGCTTACAGCATATACCAAGATGCAACACCATACACCATACTAGTTAAACTATTAAATACTATGGCTAGAGATATTACATATTATTTAGATAATGTGTGCTGTAATATCTATGAAATATATAGAATGAGTTAGAAGTACCCAGATACTGAGTTTAGAATTTCACTAGCCAACAGTTCTCATAAAATTTGCACATGTGCAATGAGCTGCAGGGGACTCTGTAATCTGAACTTTAACCAAATTTGCTTCATGCTCTAATCGTGAAACTGATGAAAAAGGAAACCATGTAGGGACACACAGGTGTGAACATATTCCATACGAGGTTTAAAATAATTTCCTTACCTATTTTAGTTGCACTGTAAATATTCTCAATGGGGAAAGCACCTCCTAAACTATAGAGTAGAACTTTTGCCAGTGCTGGGATCAATTGGGTTGTCGTTACCAAGACATTTACACAGTTACTCCTAAAACAGGGAAGAAATATACATATTTGTTTTACATTACTAAATAACTTCTAATAGGCAGGTTTAAAATCGTCACTGCGGTTTCTAAATTCCATAATAAATGGCCTCTTTCAGTATTCAACAGTTATTGCCTGTCAGCATACAGACACTCCCCAGATAATGACAGATTATTAAGAATAATATACCAACCTATGACAATATTGTGACACTTAAAGTTCTACATAATATTTTGTCAAAGCTATGTCACTAAAGGTCATACATAGATAAACATTACAGAATGAAAATATGGTCGAATAAAATAAAGCATGGGCTTTTTAAGTTTAGAGATGTGGTTTCGATATGAAGTTTCATAACGTACATTACAGGATATGATATTAGGAGTTACATCATTTTAAAAAATTATAAACACTGTATATATTTATAATTAGGACATTTGTAAAAGAAAGGCAACTATAAAGAAGAAAATGAAAGACGCTATTATTTAACTCCCCAGTGATAACTGTACTCTTCATTTTGTGAATTTACTTTCAGTGTTTCTGTTTGTATATAGATTTTTTCCCATTAGGATCATACTACATTTTTGTATTACACTTTGTTTATTTATATCATCAGCCTATTAGTTAATATCATATCATATTATCTATTATTTCCCCTCTTCCAAAAAAACAATGCATGCAGACTACTCTATCACGTGGATGTACCAGAATTTTAAAAGTTAAATTTGCTTGTAAATGGCTTCTGATTTCTAAATATTATAAATAATGTTACTTAAATTTCTTTCTACATCTTTGTCCTTAAACTAGATTCATAGAATAATAATTAGAGTCAGAGGGTAACTTAACTTTGCTAAAGGCTCTGATACATAATTCAGCACAACATCTGTTTTCCTGATATCCTAGGCATTTTGTGAAAACTGTCACTATAGTAAGATATGTGGCTAACTAAGTAAATGTCATAACATTTAACCATTCAGTGTGTATTAATTTCCTTTTCCCTCTCCTTCCCTGTTATATCTTTATTTATTTCCTAAAATCACATACCCCTGTAGTTGCTTTTAGGCCACCTGTTTATTAATAATCTGCTTATTTGTAATAATAATACCCTTTTGTTTTTTAATTATATGAAAACATCTTCTAGAAATAATGAAAGCTGTGGCCCTCCTCCTCAGAGAAATATACAGTCTACTACGTTATTACACACATACTTCATTATGACACACAATTTCAAGGACTCTGGAGTCTTCATGCTTTAGATTCCTTGACCTTTAACACCCCTGTCATCAGTTACAGAGGTCACAAGACAGTAAGTTCCATTTTCAAATAGCTTTCATTGTAATATTTAGATGAAGCCAGAATATTTAGATAGAATCTCCCTTGCTAGGATTTCTACGCATTGGCCCTAATTCTTTCCTTTACAGACACAGAGAGAAATCTAGCTGATTTTCAGCCTAACTTCTGAAACAGTTGAAAATTGGGACTATTGTTCCACACATGACTCTTCTGACTCTCTCTTTTTTATTTTTTTGTGGTTCCCACAGTCCAAACCCTGTGACTACTGGGCCCAGAACTGACAATGTCCACTGCCACGGCTTTCAGAGCAGACACAGGAAGCTGCTTCCCCTCCACGCTCCACTTAGACTGTCCATTAGCAAGGCAGGTTCTGCTTCTGCCACGTGATCAGATGCCACGTCCAGGATCTGACACCTACTTATTGACTTCCTTTTTTATTTCTGAGTTGGAGTCTCACTCTTGTCGCCCAGGCTGGAGGAGTGCAGTGGCAGGCTCATGGCCACTGCAGCCTCAACCCGCTGGGCTTAGGTGATCCTTCCGCCTCAGCCTTCCAAGCAGCTGGAACTACAGATGCACACCACCACGCCCGGTTACTTTTTGTGATTTATTGTAGAGACGAGGCCTCACCAAGTTGCCCAGGCCGGGTCTCCAACCGCGAGGCTCAGGCAATCCTCTCGCCTTGGCCTCCCAAAGTGCTGGGATTACAGTCTGAGCCACCGCACCTGGCCTACTCGTTGACTTTCATGTTCTTAGCATTAGACTCTTCTATTCCCCGGCCATGGTTTTTCTATATTCTGATTTTAATCAGTCCAAATAATCTCTTGTACTCCCCACACATTTGCCAAGCATGCTTTTTCTTAGTCATCTGACTTAGCAGCAAAATCTTGGAAGAGAGCAATACAAAGATTCGTCCTCACCTTACCGGCCACCACTTTCCAGATTCCTATTACTTTATGAATTAGCATTTTTGGTACATGGCTGTTCGGCTAGTTATAAACTGGTTTAATTCTTTTACCTAGAGTCACAAGTCAGAATTTCACTCCTTAGTTCAAACAACACAGAGGCTAGATTTTTTTTTCAAAAGCTTTCTCTTGCTTTTCTGCATTTAAGTTATGTGTATTATCCATTGTGGCCTAAAAAACCTGTAATATGCATTCTTTGCATAAACAGTACTGTTTAATTTTGGCCATCAGTCCTTGTAGTTTGCCACCTACGGAGCTCTCTTTCTTTTTGCATAGAAGTCATATAAGAATTCTGTGGGGTTTATCAGTGGTTATGAGGTATGAGGTGAGACAGGCTGAGGGACGGGATCTCCTGGTGATTCTGAGAAGCAGCAACCCTTCCTTGTCCCAGCACACATGCACACACACAATGCACACACACGTAAGCTCACATTCACACACACGCACACACTGAAACTGAAAATCACTGAACTCGGAATTGTTAGAACCCTTCCAACTCTAAAACAGTCTAAGAATTAAAACATTTTAATCTACATTGTATAATTCAGACTAATCTTCAATGCAATATGCATAGAAAAAACAAGAATCCAACTTACCTAGTGCTAATAATTGATAAAGACTTGAGTGCATTTGTTAGCCAGGAATCTGTCAGACCTTCAATCTCTGCCCTTAATTGCAGCCATGCGTCCCTCTTGGCAGGGCCAAGGAGTCCTGCAACATCAAAAAGTAAGGCAGAGTCAAGAGAGACGTATTTTCTCAGGAATATCTAAATTGGACTTCCTTCTACCTAGTATCAGTCTATAACAGAAATGGAGAGAAATATAGATTTATATCCTTATTGAGTGTTCATTTCTGAATTGATCATCCACTCATTCATTGAGTGAATATTTATTGAAGAACTTCTAGGTGTCAGGTAGTAGGCTGAACACTGGGAATGTAACAGTGAAAAAGTGACCCCAGTCTCTGCCCTCAGGACCCTAGAATCTGGTGCAGTGGATGTATGAAGACTTTTGAAAGCTTGTGTGCCCAAGACCATTCTGTGAGGCTGTGATATATCAGATCTGGAACAGAGGTAAGGCTCTTCCAAATCTCAAATATTTTGTCTGCCTGAAAATGCTTAGTATCTTAATAATCACAATCATTTCCCCTTGAAACAGTAACAGTAGCATTATCATATGCAGCTTTCAGGATGTTTTTAATATTAGTGCTAATGCTATCATAAATACTCTGTTTCATAAAAAGAAATTAGGAATTGTGTTTTAAATCCTGAAGTGTATGACAGTTATAGACAACGACGGACAACTACATGGATGTTATGCTACAAGAAAAAAAGATAGGCAAGCTAATTTTTATTTTAAAAGATCCAGTCCAGACTATAAGAAAGTGTTTGGCAGTAATGGGAAACTGTCAGGGGAGGGGGGGTGGTATTGGCAATTGAGGGAAATTGCTAGGGTAGGGAGGGGCATACCTCATCAACAAGAGTACCTGCATAATCTACATTTGTATACCTAACCCTGAATCGTAACCCATATCTTTATAATAAAAAAAAGAAAAAAGAAAAAGATCCAGTCCCCGCTAAAATGATAACACAAGACCATGAAAATCCATTTTAGAGTACTGTAAGCAGATATACAGCTAGATGATTTTTTAAAATAAAAATTTATACTTTATAGCAAGTCTTATTTATCCTTATTTTAATAAAGGGATATTCATGTATGATAGAAAATGTACTCATGGGGTAATCTTCTAAGATAGAAGATTATTTCTTAGTAATTGTGTTAGTTTTAAAATAATTTTAATAATGCCCTGCAAGAGGGAAATAATGATATACCTGAATCCATACAAATTAACTCAGATTTCTCAAAGGGATATTTATTTTAAGGTTATAAATATTACTCACAATTGATTTTAATTAGAAACCCTGCTGGGCTCAGTGGCTCAGCCTGTAATCCCTGTGCTTTGGGAGGCCTAGGTGAGTGGATTGCCTGAGCCCGCGGGTTTGAGACCTGCCTGGGCAACTTGGCGAGACCTCATCTCTACAATTCAAAAATTAGCCAGGCGTGGTAGTGCGCTCCTGTAGTTCCAGCTACTTGAAAGGCTGAGGCGGAAGGATTGCCGGAGTCCAGCAGGTCGAGGCTGCAGTGGCCAGGAGCAGTCATTGTGGAAGAACGAGTATCTGTCTCTCACAACAACTCTAGCAGGTATGTTGATGCTGAGAGATTCCTAGAACTCTTACCTAGTGGGGGAAGCCTGTACTACAAGAACCCACTCTCCAAAAGATAATTCTGGTTTGGGGGGAGGGGGTCGAATGTGGAAGAAGTGAAACAAAATATGGCAGAAGCACCAAAAGTCATTAAAATTGACAAATTCAAAAAGAGTTTTGAGCAGTGGAAAGTGTCTTGATAGATGTATTGCATCAAACGGAGAGTACTTTGAAGGAAACTGAAGTTTAACATGTAAGAATAAATAGACAATGCATATATATCACATATATCCATATCCATCATGAGTGTGGGTGGGACTGTGTGTGTGTGTGGTCACTTTGTATCCCCAGTGTCCAGCATGAAGCACCTATTAGGTGCTCAACACATACTTAGTAACTAACTATACAAGATAACACCAAAAGGGAACTCATTTCCAAATAAGATCAGAAGCAACCCTGCAAACTACTGACTTGTTCAGGATTGTAGGGAGAAAACACTGGCTTTCTTATTCACTTCAGTGGTCTGTACTTGACATTTTTTTGTAAAATCGAATAAATAGGGTTTTTGTTTTGTTTTGTTTTGAGTTGAGTTGGAGTCGCACTCTGTCACCCAGTTGCCCACACTGCACTGAGTGTTCAGCAGTTTTTGACCAAAAACGGGCATAACCCCTGTGTCCTACCCTCCATATTCACCCAGTTTCACCCGAGTGACTATTTTTGGTTTCCCCAGATGAAAAAAAGTCCTCAAAGGGAAACATTTTGCTAATGTGGAAGAGGTGAAATAAAAATGGCAGAAGCACTAAAAGGGATCCAAACTGATGAGTTCCAAAACTGTTTTGAGCAGTGATAAAAGCATCTCAACAGGTGCATTGCAGCAAACAGAGAGTACTTTGAAGACGACTGAAGTTTAAACATGTAATAATAAATATCCAATTTTTTATAAATAAATTCTGTATTTTGGGGGGTATCCCTCTTGTATGTAACACTTTAACTACATTGTATACTATGCCATACATGTGAACTTATTTATGTATAGTGAGCATTTGTATATTTAATTGTATCATTCTGTTCTGGGTTCTAGTTTATGTCCTCAACCAGCCTTCCTATTTTTAAAAAAGAGAAGCTCACAAATGAACAAACAAATAAACAAACCCTGGGAGATTAATCTTATGCAACCTAAGAGTAAATCTTAGGAATCTTGTTGACTTAAAATCGATTCTAATGACAGAGATTATCAAAGTTTATTATATCTAGAAATACATTCAGGATCACAGTTTTGATGACACAGGTTTTGATATCACCTGTAAAATATATGAATGAGTATAAAATGGTTTAGACATTAACCATAGAGTATTCAAACGTTTAAAAACCAAGATAATTATAGTTGACAAACTATGCACGAGAAAGATACATGCTCAATTTTTAAAATATAAAATAAACTTGCTGCTATTTTAAAATATAAAATAAACTTGCTAAATATTTGAAATGATATCATTGTTTATACTTATTTCCAATAGGATTCCAGAAAGGATGCTTGCTAACTACTCTGCTTCAATGATTAAGGTTCTCTTCTTTAGACGATCTTCTTCCCCCTGGCTTGGCCAGTTTCTCTGTCTGGTTTTCAGTGATAATGTCCCATGCACCAGCTAGTAAAGGGTAAGCTAAATGCCTTGTGTGCATCTTGACCAAACATCTAGGTACAAGGTTTCACAAAGGATTTCCAGTTCATGTGATAATGAGGCATATTTTATTTTGCAGTTATTTTCCCCCCCAATTATAAGAAACTTAAAACTGGCTCAGTGTAGTTGGGCAAGAACTTTCGTTGATTTATTTTACAATAGGATAGTCTTCAACATGAAAGTACAGTTTGAATATCTAGCTATATCCAGAGTGCCATTATTAGATTGAAAAAGCCACACATACCTCCGACATTGTTCTTGTAGGTGTTATATAATTCTTTTACTCTTCTGTAACGAAAAGCCAACTTCCTCATCCAGTCAACCCCTCCTCTTACACCTGTTGGCAAACAAAGGTTTGCACTACTTGCAGCTGCATGGAAGCCATCAGTTGCAAAACTGTAGGTACTGCAACACCCAAAATACATTAAAAAGAAATAATTACATGTGCAAAACTCCATAGCTGAATTTCTGTAGGAAACAGCATACTTAAAGGCATGGCTTACCTTAAGTCCTGCCCATTATCATCAGAGGAAACATCATCTATATGAACTTGATCACACTCCTGTTAAAAACATTGGAAAAGTTATTTGCGTTTCAAGGGATGCTTGTCACCACCTCTGACGGTTTCCCCATCTTTCCATTTGATCAGACTATGGCCAGAAGATGGCAGCACGTGCCTGTCCATCCCAGCATCTCACGCCTGTTTTCTTGAGCTGGAAAATGGCACCATTTTTACTCTTCTAGATTCAGAAGAGTGTCATAAAAAATGGGTTAGAAAACACGTGGCATGAAGGCTTCTTTAAAGAAATTTTTTAAAGGGATTTTAATCTTAAAAGTATTGATAAGAATCTATCTTTTAAAATCTTTGCTCTCATTTAGAGTCCCTTCTAACCATCGCTGTTGTGAATAGCTAATCTGCAGATGTACAAAACCTGTTTGGTCTGAACACTTCAAGTGGTTACTATTATTTGTCATTTGTTGAGCAACGACATTGGGGCTTGCCCTGAGATTATGATGTCCTGTGAAATTTCCATGACTTCCTGCTTCCTGCCGGATCAAAGGTATCATGAAAGGACCATGCTGGTGTTATTTTAAGGGTTCTGACTGTTTTTTAAAAAAACACAGAAAAAGTTAATAACCATTGAAGACATTTTCTTTTTGGGGGGCTTAAAAATTTTCAAATAGAAAGGAGTACTTATAAATAAAAGGAAATAATAAAGATTTATCATCTCAAAGGCACTACAAAACTCCTTGGAAACTAAACTTTAGGTAAGCATATCCACACAATGGATTTTAAGTTATGGTGTACCCAGAACAAATGTAAATTTTCTAAATAAGGATCAGATTTTTCTTTGCTGTTCTGAGTCTTATTCTGCCTTCAAATAACCTGCAATGTTCCAGTGCAATATTACAAGAAATGAAGGTGAAATTTGACCAGAACATTTAAAATATCTTGTCCTCAGAATAATAACTATATAACAAATAATAATAAGAAAGTATTGACATACAATAAATAAAAAACATAGTCATAATAAATAAATAACCTCAGAATAAATATGGTTTAGCCTATTGGGCCTCTTTTTGTCTCTCTTAAATTATTTTAATCATACAGATTCTGACAATAAGCATAGTGCTTACAATTCAGAATTAATTTTTTAAAAATTATTAAATTTGAAAATACATCCTACTTAACAAAGGCTTTTCAGCTACTACTTATACTCATTATAGGAGCTGGAAATATTGTTGGCCAAATATTTAGAATCTAGTCTCCAGCTTTCCATACAGAGTTCTTTAATTCTGTTTCTGTTTATGGATAGACCAGTTGATTCAGACAACCTTTAAAATATAAAACTCGGTGACTAGCCTAATCAGTACAATTTCGGTATGAAACTTGAAAATCCAGGATAATCCATTTTTAAAGTTCACGTGGTTTACATAAAACACGTGTTTAGCTATTTTGGAATAAATCACCACCTATATTAATAGGGAAGGGTCCAGAAGGCTTAATCCAATCATAAGCTCTCGGAGGTGGTATTTGGTTCACCAGGATACACCCCACTTAAGGCACAATCTGGCATAGAATAATCATTCCACAATTCTTTCTCAAGTAAATGGCAGTCATTTAAAACAATCATTTAAATTTTCCAACACCAAGTTATGGTGATGTAACTTAAAAATATTCTAGATGATAAGGGCAGTAAGAAGATATTCATATTAGAGTGGAGGGGAAGACAGAGAAGAGCATGGAGGCTGCCTGAGTCATGGTCAGAAAGGCAGCTGAAGAATCTCTTCCCTTCTTTGACCAAATATTGGTTGAAAGGAATGCAGCCCAACTGTAAGCAAAGGGGCGCTGTGCTTCCTGAAAAACATCAGGTAAAGGTACTGCAAAAAATGGTAGAAGCCATTGAACTGGGCTTTAAAGGAAAGGGTGTTGAGATTTTACCAGTTAGGATGAAAGATGGAGATAAAATTCTTCTCCCAGAATATGGAGGCACCAGAGAAGTTCTGGATGGAGAGATGATTTATTTAGAGATAGTGGCATTCTTGGAAAGTCTGTAGACCTAAAATAAATCACTATCGAAATGGTATCACACGAAGCTGCCCATTCCACTGAAGATCTAAAATCTTTCCTCATGTAAATAATTTCCATGTCTCTCTTTTAAAATAAACTAACGATATTCAAAAAGAAGGAGGGCCTTGTAAATTGCTCTGGTAATGAGAAGTTACTTTTATATTTAATACCCTCTCATCCTAATTTTTAGAGAAAGTCCTCTGACATTTCACATATTGCTCACGTGATTAATTTGTACATAAACTGCCCCTAAATGTTTCTTTTACTCTTGAGGACAACAGTATATCACACTCATTGGACCATAAGCTTCATATTTGAAGTTATGTTTGAGGTTTTTCCAAATCTAACTTCTCTGTAAATTTATGCCTAGTTAACTCTGCCTGTTGACTCTGGACAGTTGCCTGAGGATTACAGTCCAGTGAAAGGAACCTGAACTTCAATTACTTGGGATTTTAGGAAAAGCTAAATAATTGTTCTTCAAAGAGTTTTCACTCTGAGGAACTTTGCAAGAATCATTTTAACCAAAACATAAAATGCTAAAAACATGGTAGTGCTTTGGCTTTAATATATTTTCGAAGAACTCAAACATTTGAAACACTTCTGGCACTCATCTTAAATTATTTAATTTTGTCTTATAAGGTAACCACAAAGTCGTAGTGATATTTATCAGTTATAATTCACAGCAAGCAGTATTTTCTTAACTTTTGTGATCTCAGACTCCCTGGAGCTTTCTTTTCTGGAAGTTATTGTAACTGAAATAGCATTTTATTTAAACACACAGCATTCTCTTCTTCGGAGGAGTAGTGTGACATTTGCCCTTTCTGCAGTTGGACAGGATGTCATGAAGTGTCTATTAGGAGGATTTAAATTTGTATCTTTTAAGGAATTATGTGAGAAGCAGCTGCCAGTACATATGTTGCTGTATCTATTGAAGGGTTTGAGTCTCAAATTATACTTTTAGGTTAAAAAAAAGAAGCCTGGGAAATTAAATTTTAAAAAATAAGTTAATGGTGGAGTTACTCTCTTGAGGAATTCTCTTTGTCAGCAGAAGTAGAAATAACTTAATTCTAGTTATGAAGCCCAAGACAATCTTTGGTTATAAGAGGTTTATAGGTTTATTGAAATAAAAAAAAATTGTGTGAAAATAAAGTTGACCTTCAAAGTCAGCTGCAGAAGGATAGAGGATATGTACGTAACACACTGAATGCTCTTGAAAGCTATTGTGTTGATTTTATTAGTTTTGGTGCTTGTTTATCTCACTTAAGTTCGTCATTAACTTATGTATCTCCTTGGGCACTTCATCTGGATGTGCATGCCTGCGTGTGGTGTGCATGTGTGTGTACACGTCTAACAAGAGCTTAATCCATTTATATGCCGAGACAATTATTTCATGGATTAAGTACAGTACTGTTGAATAGCTAAGTTCAAGAGTTTGAGTGAAATGGAATTTTGGTCGCATTCTGAAATACAACTAAAAAGCTATAATGAGAGAAGGGAAAGTCCGTACCCATACTCTCTCAGTTACTGTTTCTACCAGAGATACTGCCAGATATTTTAAAAATACATATAGCATAGTACCTAAAGTAAAATAAAATGTCTTTAAAAATCAAATATCATAGCTAACTACATAATATTTTTGATATCCCGATATCCATTTCAAACTTTGTAAAGTTATTTACACATTCATTGCATGCTACTTTTGCCTTCTTACTTTAGAGTTCTGTTAGCAGTTGAGTAGTAAATTTATTCCATCTGGTTTCTAACATGCCACTGAAAAATCTGAAAGTTCATTTACTCCATTCACTTCTAGTGAAAAACAATTAACCAAATGAAATAAACACTATAAAACTTATATACAACCTATAAAACTTATATACACAGCTTTGAAAGGGCTAATAATCTTAGAATTCTCTTTAGAAAGAAATACATTCATATTTACCAACAAAAAAACTAACCTAAAATGTTATCACTGTAGATGAAAAAAATTTAAGTTCCAAAAAGGTTAAATGTGTTTTCTATTATCAGGTATATATAAAATCACTCTGCATTCTAGATGGTAATAAGTAGCAGGATTAATTTAAATCAGGTTTTAGACAGGTGGTTATTATTTCTTATTATCTAAAACTAGAAAACTTGCCTAAGAATACTGATCTTTTAAATTATCCATTAAAGAAAAGAATGCCTCTTTAAACAGACAGTAATTTCATTATCCAGTAAAAACACTGGCTTGCTATAGAGAAAAAAACAAAATGCTATTCCACAGATTTTCAGCACATACACTCATGGGATGTCCTGAAACCCTCACTTTTACTCTCATGTCTCTAATGCAACTAAAACTGGATTTAAGATCTTGTCCAGTTTTACACAAAACTATTTTAAGTCACTCAATAACTTGGCTTTTCTTTCTCACATGCTTTTTAAAATTTCAGCATGACATGGGGTTGGAAGCATGTGTTCTGGAGTCAGCCAAATCTGCTTTAAATTCTGGTTCTATCACTTAGGTAGCAGGTAATCTTGGAGGTGATTTTTACACTGTGGACCCTATAGCTTCTTCCCTGGAAAAATAATGTGATCAACGTATTTATTTCAGAACACTGTAAATTCCTGGGAACCCCAACAAAATTGTCTAGAACAAGTTGGGGGGGCTCAATAATAATCTCCCTCTTGATTCGTAATGATTACAGATAAAAACTTGCATTCGAAACCATGAGATAAAAAATAATTTTAAACATGTTACTTTAAAATAAAAAGGAATCACAATTTCAGCACGGTTATGCTTGATTGAGAAGCACTTCTGCCAAGTGCCCAAACTACTTAGTTATTTCCAATTCTATCATCTGAATGTTGACTAACCCAGGGCTTTAGCACACAGATTATATACCTTATTGTAGTACCTATTCAACTCCTCTGAGGCTATTTTTTTCTTGGGCTCTTTCGTTTTGCTGTCGCTTTTGCTTTATCTTCCTCTTGTTTTCCATTTAGACATTGTAGCACCATTTGAAGTCAGAAATTAAAAAATAACAAATTCAAAAAAAGGAAATTGGCCAGGTATGGTGGCTCATGCCTGCAATCCTAGTGCTTTGAGAGGCTCAGGCAGGAGGATTCCTTGAAGCCAGGGATTAGAAATCTGAATAAAGCAAAACTCTATTTCTAAATTAAAAACAGAATTTTAAGAGAAGATGAATGCATGCAAATCTATCAAATGTGCTATGTAAATACCTCTACCACTATCTCATCCAGAAGGGGCAGCAACAAGGAATGATAATGTCTGAAGATAGGTTTCAGATTATCTGCTGAATATAATGATCCATGCTATCCTCACAAGTAGTATCTGTGATATTGTCTAGTTATTAACCTGAATGATTTTCTGGTTAATCACTTGGAAGAGCTAATGCTGATTCCAAAGGTGCCAAGTGGGTTATAACGGAGACACCAAAACAACCAGGAGCAGCCAGAGCCACATACATAAGTGACGGCAATGCCGCCATCTCTTCTTTGGAGACATTTTGTTCTCCTTTTGTGCCAGGGCATATGCGTTATTCACCAACACAATTTAATTTTCTGTTTATATCTACATGGACATGTATTTTCCTCTTGATCAGAATGTTACGATTCTCTTGAGCTAAATTTCTCTTTCCGTCTCCTTGAGGTTATTTGAAGATATAGGAAGCATCAAAGAGGTCCAGTGTTGGATACAACTATTCCTACCTTTTAAAATCCTTACCTCTAAATCGTTAAAAAACAAATGTGTATCAGCAAGATTAAAAATCATTTCCTCCATGCGGAGTCCAAGGGTAACAGCCATGGGGGGGTCCTGCAAGAAAACGTATGGCATCATGAAGTAAAGTTTCAGTAACTGATGATACAATGTTATTACTAAAAACATTTTAAGCCCTTATGGCTGTGGGGAGGAGAAGACTGAATGGATTTTTACTGAAGAGTCAAAAGATTTCCTTATTATCCCAAATGCACAGACACATCTGGGAATTTAGACATTTGTCAAGATGACTCATACATTTTCACATAAAGTCGAATGTTCATGAGAGGCAGAGGGAGAAAGTCAGTTTGTTCATGGCCCAGTTATATATAATCCACGGAAAGTCTTTCGGAGGAAGGTATTTGGATGAGGCACTGAAAAATGGAGCAAACTTGTTAAAAAAAAAACAAACAAAAAAGGATGTCCTTTAAGAATGGCAACATAAAATAAAAAATATATTTAAAATGAAAAAAAATGGCAACAAATATATTGAATTAAAAGAGAAAAGCAGACTCATTGTGTAGGACTCAAGTAAAAATTTAAAAAGGAAATGCTACCTTGAGGGAGGATAAGAAGAGCTAGCAGAAGACAGTGCAATCACCACTTAATTATTAACTATACTGTGATCAGCAGGGTAATAGGAATCTCTATCCAAATACCATAGCATTTGGTCTAACCTGCATTGGACCACAGTTGAAGAGGGAGGGTTGAGGATAACTAAAAGAACATTACTCCCATAAATGTAATCTAGGTAGAAAATAAATACCTTTGGAAATGTAATGGAAGTGAAGGGGTTAGTAAGGAGTAAAAATGGCTCAATTTTTGTCCACAGAAAGCAAGATGTTAAACAGCGGCAAGGAGTTGAAAATCAAGACCAGAGTTGTTACTTGACCATGATTAACTGCAGCTGAAGGCCTGGCATCACGAGGCCTAAGACTGAAAAGTAAAGAGCATTTGGGGATAGAGACAGGGAGGTAATTTATGCTCAAACATTGTGTTTAAAATTATCAAAGTGGGAATGATCTCTAAAGGAGATCTGCTAATAGGTGTGACTCTGGAGATATGGAAAAGAGAAAACCTGGAAGAGGCAGAGTCCTGGAATTTGATGCCAGATGGATATTAGCTGGGAGAAGAATATGGTTTGAATAAAGCTGACAAGTCTAGAAGGCTACTATTGGTTTTGGCTGGTAAGTTATTTTGGAAGACCTCAGAGGGTGATTTGGGTTGAGTAGCTGGGCCAGGAGCCAGACAGTCAGGATTTGAAAAGAGAGAACCCAAATTGTGTCTTCAACATTCTAATAAATGGCATTCCAAAAAATGTATTTAAACTTGGGGAAGTGTGGCTGGGCACGGTGGCTCATGCCTGTAATCCCTGCACTTTGGGAGCTTGAGGTGGAAGACCACTTGAGCCTAGTAGTTCAAGATCAGCCTAGGCAACATAGCGAGACCTTTTCTCTATAAAAATTATATACATAATATCCGGGTGTGGTGGTGTGTGCCTGTAGTCCTAACTACTCAAGAGGCTGAAGTGAAAGGATCACCCGAGTCTAGGAGGTCAAGGTTAAGGTAAGCCATGATAATGCCACTGCACACCAGTTTGGATGATAGAGTGAGACCTTGACTCTAAACAAGCAGACAGACTTGGGGAGATGTAATGTTAACTTTACTCAATTTATAAGAACATGCATCCAATGTCCGGCCAGGCAGTATTCATCTACACCCCTGAACATATTCTATTTGCAAGTGAAACTCCTCATGCCCCGCCTCTACTCCAATAACCTATTTTATTACAATATTTGCTTCTGTGATGTTTTAAAGGAGAAGCCCTCACGTGTAAATGTACTTGAAGTGTCAGCCCTATGTTCTGTAGCCATTAAATCCTGGAGAACAGGTATTGCATGCTAATAAATGAATTGAGTGCTGAGGGGTCATGAGGTATGTAGAGTACAGTAAGCCTTGGTATGGGAGAAGATGGAGAGGAGACAACAATAATATTGGTAATTGTTTACATCTCTTCCCTAGAGACTTCTGTGAATTTCAGAGCTAGAGATTCTCATTTCTGAAAAAAATGAGTGTTGACTGTTCACATACTTGATGGCAACCTGGTATTGTGTTCTCCAGCCAGCTTGTCTCTACTGATCGATTCATCTGTCTTCCAGGGACAGGACTATTTGGAGCCACATACCCCCAAATCCCATAAATTCTGTTTATCCGACAAATACTCATTCAAAAACAAGAAAAAATATATGAAGTGCCCATTTGTGTCTCAAAGGGTTTCAGAACTCAGAAGGACCCCTTGCTCTGTTTCCTCCTTGCTCTGTTTCCTCCAAGTGTAAAATTCTTCTTTGTTCTTATTCCTTATTTTGTTGAAATCTCTAAAGGTTGAATACATCTTTTAAAAGATTTGTCATTTTTGTTAAAAAAAAAATTCCCATTGCTAGTCTCAGGATTTTTTTGTGAGGGGAGGTGAGAAACAGGACATTAAATAGGCAGAAGACATAGAAAACTTGTAACTATTCTGCCTAGTCATGGAACCATGAACAAAGTCTACAGAAATATCAGGAAAAATCAAATGTAATTATAGCATATAAATCCATTAGCAACGCTCTATGCTTTTGAGGAATGTTCACTGAGGCAAGACAGTAAAACTGAACTCCACACTACTCTGTTATGTTTCTGATGATGACTGCCCTAAAAATATATATTTCAGATGGAGGTTCAGAAATATATTATTTAAAAGGTTTGGAGACCAGGTTGATTAGACTCTTATCCAATGATTTGCCCATTTTTCTTTTTAAGTTTTAAATAAAATTATTGAACTTCTGTGTTCATTCCTCACATTCTTTGCATTTACAAATCAGATTTATGGGGCTAGGAGAAAACATACTGTTCCTCTTTGATTGTTACTTTGATCGATTCCACGCTTCTGAAGTACGTAACTCTCTATGCTTCCCAAACCGTGATAGGATGATCCATGAAGAATGCATTTTGTACATCTGATAAGCATGCAAACAAATATAATTTTCTTTTTTTCAAAAAAAAAAAAAAAGCAAGAATCTTCTAGCAAGCTAGCATGGCGTATGGTATGATGAAAACTGCATTTGAGCACTCCATTGGAATGCAACCTCACGGCACTGGGAGGGCTGTTCATTTGTTTTTCAAGCTGTGGTGATTCCACATCACACACTCCCTTAGAGCCAGGACTTAGTAAGCATTTTGGCAAAATATCATTTGTTAACTGGGAAAGTTTAGGTCTGTGGTTTGCTGGAGTGTGAACTAGCTGCATTTTACTAAGGTTTCCAGAGAGCAAGGGCTATTGAAAGGGAGATGTTTCATCACCCATGCCAAAGGCTTGGCACAGATGGGCTGGGGATAGTCATGCCATAAGCCAAGGAAAACCATGCCTGGAAGAGGCGGCGATCTTGTTTCTAAGAGAATGTCGGTGAGGGCTTACTTTGAAATATATAATTTTGCTTTTTGTTTTTTTCCAGCTAAGTCACTGGGACAGCTAATTCGAAGTAAGCAGATTACAGTACCATATTTTTTTTTCCAGTTAAGGGACTCAGATCTAAGAATTCAAGAAAGGTGACCAGACATTTGGTGGATGCAGCCTTAGTAGTGTCTCTTTGTTTGGTGCCCTGTCCTGCCAAATGATTGCAAAGACACTGTCAGTGCTTGTACTTCCACTGATCTATCAGACACTGGAGAGCGTAACAAACTTTTGGATTGAACTCAAGTTTTACACTGAGATGTCTGCTCATTTTCATTCGTTGTTTGTATAATTATGGGCACCTTGTGAATCAAGAGTTGGTGCTCTTTTTTTTGGCTTAACTGTAGTGAGTGTTGAGTTTAGGGTCTAAAATGAAATGATAGCATAAACTTGAATAGAAGGAAAAATGAGATAATAAACTCACTAACAGGGTTTTATGGAGCTCTGATACATATTATACAGTTCCAAAAAGTCCAAAAATGTCTAACAGAGTTTAAGGTGGAGCAAACTGAACTTCTGCCAATTAATTAATTCTGTGCACTATTCTATCTAATGAAACTGTTCCTGAGAATTTTACTGAATACATACACACACACACACACACACACACACACACACACAGAGAGAGAGAGAGAGAGAGAGAGAGAGGGAGAATATGAATAAATAGCTCTTGGCCTTTAAATGTGTGGTTCTAAGCCAGATGTTACCAGTGTATAACCAAGTCAGGATCAAGTACAGCACTTCTCTAAATCAAAATACTAACGCCTATTAGCCGTGCAAGCACAGAGCATAAATTGGAGCCAGACTGTCTGTCTGTGGGCCTCTGCCCTGTATTGGGCCATCAGCTGGAATTCCTCCTCTAGGGACACACTGTAAAAATATCTCTGGAGAGGCAGCAATTATGTATTTTTAAAGAAACGGAGGATTTTTTTTTAAGACCTCAAGCTCTTGTAACAGTTATTCCTCTGGGACCTGAAATATGTGTGTAGATGCAAGTCCATCACAGAAGAAGGAAGACTAGCCACTCCGTGAACCAAGGTGACAATAGCTACTGGATGTTTTAGAATATATGAATTCTTCACATCAGTGAGAAGAGATGAAATGAAATTCAGTCATGCCCATACCTATCACCATACACAAAAATTAACTCTAAATGGATTAAGGACCTAAATGTAAAACCTCAAACTATAAGAATCTTAGAAAATACACAAGACATGCTTATGGAAATTGGAACTGGCAACCAATTTCTGAACAAAACCCCAGTGCCCATGCCTTAAGAGATAAGATAGACAAGTGGGACCTCATCAAACTAATAAGCTTCTGCAAAGCAAAATAAACCATCAAGAAAGCGAGGAGACAGTTCACAGAATGGGAAAAAAAATATTTGCCAACTGTATATTTGACAAAGGCCTAACATCTAGGATCTACAGGGAACTCAAACGCGCCAAAAGGAAAAAACAAACAGCCCCATTCAAAAGATATGAATAGACACTTCTCAAAAGAAGATGTACAGGCAGCCAACAGATACATGAAAAAGTGCTCAGCCTCACTCATTATCAGAGAAATG